GCAGGGGGAGTGGGAGAGGGAGAAGCAGGCTTCCCGCCGAGCAGGGAGCCCGATGCGGGGCTCGATCCCAGGATCCTGGGATCGTGACCTGAGCCGAAGGCAGACGCTTAACGACTGAGCCACCCAGGTGCCCCAAGAAATTAGTTTTTTATGTAAAAACAGAGAAACTTGCCAATATCCATTGCCAAATAAAGAATACTGGGTAACTGAGGTCAGTAACTGCCAGTCTCTTTCCTAGGACCAAATATCCCAACCTTTTCAGCATATCAAAGGTCATCAAAACATCACTGATGTTGAGGTTAAGAACCTGCCTCCTATTAGATGTATTGACAAAAGCAAGTAACAAAGGAAGATCCCTTAGTTTTCTTCTGCTGCTGCTTAGTTTTCCCTATAGCAATAGAAAATTTTGAAGGATAGATGAGCTTTAATGAGCTCTAATGGCACATTTCATTTGGATTTATTTTCTTTTCAACTTTGAAATTTGAAGATCCCTTAGTTTTCTTCTGCTGCTGCCTAGTTTTCCCTATAGCAATAGAAAATTCTGAAGGATAGATGAGCTCTAATGAGCTCTAATGGCACATTTCGTTTGGATTTATTTTCTTTTCAACTTTGAAATGCATCCAGTACAAATAATGTCCTGGGTAGGTGGTGAAATTTCAAGGTAAGAGGCAGTGTCACATTGAAAATAACCCAAGAAGAGCCATATAGACAAAGTATTTTCAAGACCTATAACTTATCAACTTTCTTCCAAAGATCATAATGATAATACCTAGCGCTTATTGAACATATACTGTGTGCCAACCATGGTGCTTTTTTTTTTACATGGAGTATATTTAGTCCTCACAATGAATATATGACATATATACTATTATCATTATCCTATTACAGAAGAGGGAAGTGAGGCTCAGAGACTAAGAATTCATCAAGGTTGTTCAATATTTAAGTGGTAGAAATGAGCTTCTATCTTAGACAAGTCTGTTTCAGTTAAGAGCCTTTCTTCTTAACACCATGAAATGCTCACTTGGTTTCCCTGTTCTGTCTGGTATCATCTACTTTATCTCCATCTTCATGAGAACTGAGTACAAATGAGGCAGGATGGTATTTGTGTTAGATGAGACTCCATGTTGCCAGCAATGCCAACTGAAGCTGGCATTAACAACAATAGATTTAGATAATGTATCAGCTTCCAACTGAAAATGGGACCTGGGAGAATACTGTGTATTGATTGGCTCAGGATGGGACGTTATAACTCTCCATGAACCACACACTGCAACAAGGGGAAAATGGATAACTCGGATTGCAATTTGGGCAAGTCCTGAAGCCAGGGATGGAGATAATTTCATCAAAATTGAACGGCGGCCCCTCGAGGTGGATTGAGGGGAAATGGGAAAATAGAAGCTTAGGAAAATAAAGGAAAATAAGTCAGAGTCAAATAAATGGAATCCTTACTTCCTTGCCCAGTAAAATTAACATGTAAATTAAACATAAAGAAAGATCATGGTTAGATTCCACATCTTAGAAAACTTCCACTGATGATGTGTGAATTAGCTATCTATTGCTGTGTTGAAACAAATTATTCCAAAATTAGGTCCTTAAAAGAAGAGACATTTATTTCCATAGGTCAATACTTGGGCATAGCTTAGCTGGCTCAGGGATTTTTACCAAGTTGGCTGGGGGAAGATCTTCTTCCAAGCTCACTCAGTATTGTTGGTAGAATCTAGTTCCTCCTGTTGCACTCCAGGCCTGCTGTACTGAGGGCCTCTCCATAGGGCAGCTCCCAACAGGCACTGGCTTCCCTCAGAGCAAGCAAGCAACAGAGCAAAAAAAAAGAAAAAAAAAAGTCCAAGATAGTCTTTTTATATCCTAATCTTGGAAGTGACATCCTGTCATGTCTGCCATATTTTATTCTTTAGAAGTGAGTCAGTAAGTCTACCCCACTTTTAAGAAAGAGGATGACGCAAATGTGTGAATATCAAGCAGGATCAGGGGATCTTTAGGGGCCCTCTTAGATGCTGCCTACCATATTGTATGCATTGGTGCATCTGTGTGTGTGTGTCTACATTTGGAGTTGGTGGGTGGTCTGGAGTCAACATGATATGGGTCCAATAGAGTATTGAGTTCTTATGGACTTTCCTATTAAGGACATTAGGGGGATAAAATGGTAGTCATGTCTCCAGTAGGAAACAGATGGCATTTGCAAGTTGAGAGTTTGAGCCAGTTTAATAAAGGGACTATTTACAAAGGTGTAGGTAAGTATAGCAAAATTGCAAGGAATAGTGCATTATTCCAGGGCTTGTGACAGCCTGACACATCACTACCCCAAGGGCTGAAGCAGTAAAGGAGGGAGCAGTTATCAGAAGTAGGACAAGATATCTGTATGAGAAAACACTGGACAGGACCTGTGACTTTCCACCAAAGGAAGCAGTCAGCCTACGGCATCTCCACAGGGAAAGGGCCAGGGGAATAAATATATTAGCTCACTCTCCTCCAGTCCCTTGCTGTCACTACCCATTGGCTGAACTCAACTAGAACCGAGAAGGCAAGGGAGTCCGCTGGTGTTGTCAACACAGGTCAGCTTCGGAATACACAGTATGTGGGAAGAGTGGAGAGGGATGATCAGAAGTACAGAAACCAAGTGAGTACTTATGAGGAAAATCATCCCCATGATAGAGAGAGAAGAAGAAACAGGCTTACAGGATGAGGTGTTGTTTAGAGCAAGTTAGATGGAAGGGTTTGGTTTGCTGGCAGAGATGGGTATTTAACATCAAAACAGGCTTTCATATAGTTGTGTCTCTTGAAGAATCCTTAGAAATGGGAAACACGTATCCACCCTTATGAAATGATTTGGGCAAGATTGCACTGATGAGAGGAGCCCGGTTGGTTAGGATGACTCTGAAGGGTCCTTGTAACTTGAGGATTCTGCGTTCCAGGAGGAGGGATGGAAATCAGGAAACAGGATCTCCTGTGAAATATTCCCCATGCTTTGAAATGGAAATTAGGCTCTTCCAATTTAGGAATCAAATTAAAGCAAATAGTCAGGGTGTTAGTGGGTTGTGCTCCTCCCTGTTTGAAGTGGCATCTAAAGAAGGCACGCTGCTTTTTCCTGGATGAAGCAGGATCGCACTCAGCCTGTTTTCATCTTTACTTAGCACCTTCTGGCTTGGAGTGGTGTCGCCCAAGCAGTCAGACAGGGGATGTGTCAGGAGCTTGACCTCCCGCGCCTGCTGCCCCTCCCCCACACCCCATGACAGCCTCTCTTGATACAGATGGACAGGGGCTGGTTTAAAATGACAGTCTCAAGTTCGTGTAGGAAGAGAAGGCTAATTGAAAGAAACAGCCAGGCAAGCTTCCTTTCTCTGTAGGAATAATTATCATACCCCTTCACCATGGCCCACCTGGGAGCCCATTTTGCCTTTAGATCCCACTGGCAGAAGACCGACGCTGAACTCTGTCGACACAGCATGTCCTTTATCCTTCACAAAGCCATTCGCAGTGACTTCTTTCAGAGTTATCTCTACCTGCTGGAAAAAATTCCCCTGGGTAAGTGAGTCAGAACTACTAGATAAGGGACAAGAAAGGGGGACTGTGTGAAGTCGTGGGACCTCTGCAAGAGTCCTTGTCCTTAGAACAAGGACACTTTTCAGATAAAAAGAACCCACAACCAGTGTCAGGGGGCTTAAATGTTTCAATGGCACTCTTTCTTGCAGGGTGCAAAGATCAGGTGCTGCCTGGCAAGTCGGGCCTCTATTTTGGGATTCCCATGCACACTCAGAAACTGTGATTTGCTTCCCTGGGTGTTGGTTGGCCTGAGTACCAGGCTTACAGAAATTCATTTCCTGAGTTTTGAAGGACATTTTTAATATTTGCCAAAATTGAAAGGGGGGACAAATTAGGTAATTCAAAGATGAGAGTATTAATGTGGTAGTATGGCAACTAAGAGTTAAAAAGAAAGACTAAATGATAAGGTGTCCTTGTTCTGTGTTTGTGTGTGTGTGTGTGTGTGTGTGTGTGTGTGTGTGTACATGAGCCCACACTCCACACAATCCTTTCTGGTTTTCCTGAGTCACAGTAATAGAGAGCCAAAAAGGAGCAGATTTTAGTCTGTTCTTTGAATATTAAGAAAAAAACCTGAGGCAGTGGTCTGGCTCCCTTTTCCCTATTTCCTCTAGTTTTCAGGGAATTAGACAATAGGGCGATAAAAAGCTTATCAGGTTTGTCTACACTACTTTTCTCAGCCTCTGTGAAAGGGGTTACTTCAAGGAACTCTTAACAGCACTGAAGAGGAAATAACTTGTGATTAAAGAGTGAAGTGTCCCCCTTTGATTTATATTTTCCCCCCAAGGAAAGCAGGACCAGTATGTATCAGCCCCAGTCTGTTTTCTTAAGCCCCATTGTGCACTTGATGTGGCCAGCATTTCTAGACACCGTAGGGGCTATGTAATTCTTTGTACTGTGTTCAAGAAACTAGTTGCTAGCAGCCTACCAGATTTTCTTTGTATAAACCCATTTCTGAAGGGATCTTTAAATCTATACATACAATGCTTTCATCTCATACTTATGCAATGCTTCTTTAAAAATTTCCTTATTTTTGATTTTATTTGATCCTCACAGCTACACTAGGGTTGGATAGGATAAGTATCACTATTTTTCCACTCCCATCTTCGCACCCTCACCCCCCATCTTACTTTTTCAAATGGAGAAAAGAAAATTCAGAGATGATGAGATCTAATCTAGACAGATCTCATTTAGATACCAAAGCAAGAACCCAAGACAAGAGCTTTTTCCGGTAGATCACACTGCCCATAAGTAATTCTTTTAGGATGTGTTATGCGTCTCATTTGTATCCAAATGGGAAAACTAGAGCAGTCCATTTGGAAGGTGAGAATGTTCTGGTTGCTCCACACACTAGCAGAGCACTGCTTTTCTAGAGACACTCTTGAGAGTCTTGTGTGTCCCATCTCAATAACAGTAGCTTGGTGGCCTTAGCTACCGTAGACTGGAGAAAGATATCAATTACAATGACTAAGATACTCACTAAGGGGCAGATGGCTGCCAAATTTTAAAAATAATTACTAGAGAGAAAAAGGAACTCAACTATGAAAGTAGCAGAAGATGAATTAAAAAGGAAGAATAAAACAGTATCTTCTGAAAATCAGGTGAAAATTAATTGGGGAAAAGGAGACTATAATTTATTTTTGGTCTCAATCCCTTTTTTCTGATCAGTAGAGTCTTTCTGATTATACTAATTTTTCTCCTCTGTGAATGTGCTGATGGTTTATCAGTGATTTCCAATCTTTAAAAAATTATTAAAAAAACCAAAAGTTTTGACAAAGTCTTCTATGGAAGCCTAGTGTAAAACAGGAAAAAGTGAAAATTTTCTGCTTAGGGTTGGGGACAGGGTGTGTTCTCTGCTCTATCCCAGCCTCACCAGTGGCTCCTGAGGCACTTCTGTAACACCCATCGGTTTCCATTAATACTGTTTGAAAACCTTTGGTCCATTTCTAAGCCAAACATGACTCCATTTTACTTAGTCGGTTTTCCATAAATAGGTACTCCTTATTTTCTCTGACTCTGATGATTCAGCCCAGGAATTGGTTTCCCCTGAGAGTAACAGAGGTAGCCCTATCCACAGTACCTCATTGATTTTAGCAATCAGGGGCTATATTAGTCTGTATGGACTATGCTATCCTGCAATAACAAACTAACCCTAAAATCTCAATGGCTGAGCATATAAAAGTTTATTTTATGTTTTTGCTGTATCATTTCAACATGCATTATGGGGGAGGGTCTGTGTTCCACGTAGGCATTCAGGGATCTAGGATGATAAAGGCTCCACCCTCTGGGACACTGCTAGTCACCATGGTAAGGAAAGATAGGAGCTAAAGTTTTGCCTGCTAGTCCATAAATATTTTGTCCCAGAGGGACATACATTACAACTGTTTAGGTACCATTGCCCAGAACCAGTTACATGGCCCTGTCTAACTGCAAGGATGCTGAGCAATGTAAGGGAGTAGATGTATATCTGGTCACTGGCAAATGTTTCTAATGGGGGAAAAACATTGCATTTTAGAGATAGAACCACTGGACATTTCTGATCAATTCAATTTAGTGTAAGAGACATTTACGGAGCTCTGTCGTGCAAAATGCTGTTCGGTGTATTGGAGAAGATTCAAACAATAAAATGCAGTCTCTGTTCTTCAGAATTTTATAAACTGGAAATGGAGGAAAATCAACAAATAACTTTTTATTAATCCTTAAAAAGTTTAAATTAAGGTTACAGGAAAGGGAGGCTGTCAACTCTGTGAATACTCAGCTTTTTTTGCAGTGTTTTCTTGTCATGGCAGAAGCTAAAGCACCTCCAGGAGACTATAAGCTACTTGCAGGTGCAGAAAGGAACCAGCACGTGTCTCATCCACCAGTATGACTTTTATCCAATCACAGTCTTCTCCAAACCCTTGATTATCTTGCTTAACCCTTGGGTTTTGCCCCTAGGAGATTTATAAGTTCTATTTATGGAATGCATGTACCTCTATTAGTTTCCTGATGGGAATCTAGTTCCCATGACTCATTTATCTTGTCCTCTTCTATATCTATAAATTCAGCATTTACCATGGTTCCTGGCACATAGAAAGAACTCAGTATCTGTTCACAGCAGATTAAATGCCCCCTTAGTAATAATTAATTGCAAATCACTAAAGTCTTGAGTTCAAATTCTGATACTGCTACTGATAGAGAAAGTCACCACTGCAAGTTACTAAAGTCTCTGAATATCATTTTCCTCAGGGCAATTGAAAGCAATTGTATATAGTAAATAGTCAATGCTCAATAAGGATTAGTTTTTTCTTTCCCTTCCTCAGAGCCAGGCCTCTTTTAATGTCACCATGTGGTCTTCTCTAGAACAGGCATTACCAAAGACAATAGGCTCAGCTCACTGTATGGGACTTTTCAGGCAGCAGGGGGTAGTAAGCTTTTCAGCTTGAAATGAAAATTTAGCCAATGGAGTCCTCCCCATCTCCACTCAAATGTTTTGGAATTGGCTTCCCCTCCTTTTTGATTATTTAAAAACTTCATAGAAATGAAAATAAAGCCCTACTTTTGAAAGGTTAGGGAATGGATAGTGTAGAGTCTGCACAGAGAGTTTGTTGTTTGGGATAATTCTTTGATTCCTTCTTTCCTGCCTTCCTCCTTCCAACTGCCTGCATTAGGTAGTCAGTCCCACAAGCACACTATGCAGGGACATTCAGTCATGGGGACATTTGCTGGAATATCCATGGCTAGCTTCAGAAATTTGTGGAGAAGCAAGAGCACACATACTGCAAATCTCCAATGAAGGCTTAGCTATGCCACTGAAGACAACACCTGTTCAGGAAGAAATGGGAGCAAGCCTGCTACTGTTCTCAGTGGTTTGCACGTTACTATCTCAGGGACTCCTGACAGTGTGCCTATTAGGTGGTAGTGTTTTTTTTCCCCACCTTATATACGAGGGACTGATGTGCTCTGGAGTTAAGTAACCTAATGAAGGTCACGTGGCTGTGAGTGGGGGAGCAGGGTTAGAACCCAGGCAGACTGACTCCAGAGTCTGCCTTTTTTGAGCCTCAAACTCAGGTTGCCCCCCAGTGAAAATAGCAACTTGAGTTATGTAGGCAGCAATTTAAGTTTTACCATGTTTTTTTTGACAGGAACATAAAACCTAGTCTATGAAGAGCATTGGCTTTGTACTGAGATAATCAACAAGATAGGCAGGCCAGTGAGTAGGTTCATGTAATCTAGTTATACTAGCACAAGTGCACTTGGGGGTTTGGAGTGAATGATTTTTCCAAAGGTGGCTGTTTGTGATCAAATAGGAAATAAATAGGAAAAAATTGTATGCATCTCCAGTTTGTATACCAGTGCTCAAGAGGGCTTATCTAAGGCCCAATGGAGATGTTTCTATAAGTTAACCACTCAATAATCCTCTAGCGCTACCACAGTGTATTTCCGAGTACATAGAAGTCAATGACTATTTGTTAATCATACGCTAAGAGTCTATTACTCCTGCACATCGTTAAAGGCTTAGTCTTACTTCACGTTTAGAACAGTGGTTCCACAGAGTTTAGCAGAATAGGGATGGGGTAGGACATGGCTATGACACTTCATTTCTATGTGATATTAAGTTACTAAATCTTTCTGAGTCTCTCACCACTCATCTGCAAAATGATGAATATAACCCAAGTATTGTGTTATTATTGTGAGAACTAAAAGAGATAATGTGAAGAGATAATATGAAAGTGCTTAGTATAATGCCTGGTGCCTGGGAGGTACCCACCAATTTTTAGTACACATCCTTCACTTACCTCTTTCTTTCTACTGGAATAAGTTTCTAAAGAGGAAATTGATAACAATGGTCACCTCTTTGCCATTACAATTAAAAGCCAGAGTTAATAAAAACACTTCCCGTAAGACATGTGGGACTGTCAAATAAAACTCAGCATATAACCATTGGCATTTTTCAAATTGATTTTACCCCAGTGGAGACATGGCTGCACAACTCATTGAACAGT